CGACCCGGCGCCGGAGGGCGTGCCCCTATGCGAGCTTGCGCTGGACGACGACAAGGGACTTCGTTGCGATGGAGCAGGAGCGCAAGCGGCTGCTGGAGGACCCGCGCCGGAATGCGAAGGAAATCGCTGCACTGGAGGAAGACATGAACAGCCGCGCACATGAGCTCGCACGCGACAAGAAGCTGGCGGACCGGGCGTTTCTCGACCCGGCGCCGGAGGGCGTGCCCCTGCGAGCTTCCGCTGGACGACGACAAGGACTTCGTTGCGATGGAGCAGGAGCGCAAGCGGCTGCTGGAGGACCCGCGCCGGAATGCGAAAGAAATCGCTGCACTGGAGGAAGAGATGAATCGTCGTGCGCTTGTTTTGAGTAGAGGTTTATTTTCTGAGGAACGTGTGTACGCGGACCAGGCTCGAATTGGGGTTGCTTTTGCCCCTTCGGCGTTTAGTAGTGATGAAGACATGATTGTGTTTGAGGGCAATCCCACGGAGGGGTTCATGGAATCATGTGATGGGAGTGCAGTGCATGTTGTCGGGATTGAGAAGCGTGATGCCAAACGTGTTGGTTTTTCGGTGGCTGATTTTCGTGATAGGTTGGCGGAATTTATTGATTCGAATCCTGAGGGTATCCCGTTGAATGAGTTGGAGTTGGATGGGGACGTGGAATTTTGTGAAATGGTGGAGGTTTTATTTGAATTGCTGCAGAGTCCCCAGCGGAACACAGAGGCCATTAAGGATCAGCAGTATGCCATGAATAACTACGTGCATGATCTGGCGTTGGATGTGCTGCGGCGGGACAGGGGATATCTTATTCTACAACCGCAGGGCGTACCCGTAGCGGACCTCCCTCTGGATGACCCAGTGTTTCATGAGATGGAGCTGCAGCGGCGTAATCTGAGGAAAGAACCGGAAAAGAATGCAGCAAGAATAGCCGAGTTGGAAGACAAGCTAAACGGTCGCGCGGATGAGCTTGCCAGGCTTCTCCGTGTGAGGGAGAGAGTATTTCTGGAAGAGGAGACGAATGGTGTGCCACTAGAGTGCCTTCCATTAAATGAAGATCCGGTGCTGCATGGACTGGAGACGCGCCACAGGAAGCTGTTGCGGGCGACGCCTAGGAACGATGTGGCTATTCGTAGTATTGAAGAGACTATCGTGCAACGTGTGCGTGAGTTGGCTTTTCAGTACCGCGGGTGGCAGGATGAGGAATTCCATGAGGCGAATAAACACATGGCAGAGGAGTGGCCACGCATCTGTCAGCTCTACCCAGAGGGTGTCCGTGACTCAGTGGTGCCGGAGAAAAAGCTTCCATCGCACGTTATTTCTGCACCTTGTGAACTGGGTTATTTAGCTCCATTCATTGCCGCTATGAGTCAGTACCCTGCGCTTATTGACCGTCTGTTTGAGACAAAGTTGCATCCTCCAAACGGTCCATATACTTGCGTCTTTTATGATTCTAACAGTATTCCAGTGCGCGTGGACATTGATGATCGTGTTCCTGTGGATGCAAACATGGAGCCGAAGTTTACACGAGTTCCAAAGCACTCGTGGTACCCCCTCTTGCTGGAGAAGGCCTACGCGAAATTTGTTGGCGGATACTCACGGCTTGACCAGTGCACACCCCATGAAACGTTGCGTGACTTAACAGGCTGCCCAGTGACACACATTCCGTTCGAGGAAAAACGTGCGGAAGGGTTAAAGATGGGTGATTTCCGTTCCGTGAATTTCTGGCGTGGCATACACGCTGATTTTTCAAGGGGTGATATTATTACAGCGATGTCCACGAAGTTTGTTCCAGATGGCATTCATCCGCAGTGCTGTTACGGCGTCTTTGGGATTATTGAAACTGCTGGGGAGTCAAGTGACCCGGCGGACGTTGTTGTGAAGCTACACAACTGTTACTTTGATGCGCCAACTTACAATGGCCCGCTCAACCGAGAGGACCCGCGCTGGACAGCTGAGCTAAGGAAAATTTGCGGTTTTAACCCGACAGAGGAGGAGTTTTTGTACTTGCCAGTGCCCGTATTTTTGCGTAATTTCTCCAGCATGCAGCGATGCCACATTAACTGCGGTGACCGCCTCAGTGCTTCTGGGGAGTGGGACAAAAATTCATGTGGGGGAAATCCGAAGTTCACAACTTTTCGGAGCAATCCGATTTATTTGGTGGAGAATAAGTCTACGCGTCCGGTGCGAATTCTGGCCGAGCTGTGCCACACGGCACCTGTTTTTTATGATGCCGACGGTATCGGTCACTACCACCAGACAGGCTTGGCGCTTTTGCAGCATCACGAGTCCGTGTCTGTGGTGAGTGGAATGATTACGAATTCAACGCACAAGTTTGTTCAGAAGGGCATTTTGTTGGATACGCGGGAAGTGTGTTCACGGATGGAGGTTCCACCGCGGTCGGCGTGTATTCTTGTTCCCTACACGATGAAGCGCGGCTGCCTGGGCAAGTTTGGCCTCTCTATTTATCCTGGAAACTCGGGTGTGACGTTGATGCCATTGAGCCCGCTCCATGCCACGCACAGCACCTGTGAGGTGGAGGTGATTCTTACGCCAGGCAACCGTGAGGGGAAACGCATTGACTTTGCGGTTAGCGAGGCCTGCGACGTGCACCTGCTGCTTCGCCAGAAGAAAATCACAGATCCGGCGTCCATTAAAAAGGGAGACGCGCTCGCCGAGGACGACGTGATGATGATGGTGTACGACGCACACACGACGCGTTTGGCGACGACCGGTGATGCGACGAGCGCACGCGAGCACTCGCTTGTGCTACAGCTGCCTCTCTCGGGGCGGTATTCTGTTTTACTGGGCTGTCCAAACAGACCCGTGACGGGCGACTGCCCGTGTTCGCTTTTCATTTACACCCCACGGTGGGTCACCACAAGGATCTTGCCACCCCCAAAAGGTGGAGCTCCGGCGGTAGTGTCGTTTGTGCCGCCTCCTCACTCCATCCGGAGCGCCCCGCCGCAGGCAAGCAGAAATGGAAACGGCAACGGCGCTACGGGCGTCGCGAGCGCAGCAGTGGGTTAGTGAGCGAAGTGACGGGGCAAAAGTGTTGGTTCTCTCACGGAACCACCAGCCAGTGCCCTACAAATAATAGGGGTGAAGGCGACACGCACACCGGGCGTAAGACACACCCTGCAACAAACTCACTCAAAACGATGAAAAAAAATGGTGAAGAAGTTGGGCAGGCCAATGCATGAAAACAATTATGTAGAAAAGAGAGAACGGAAATGAAATGAACAAGGGATTACTGTGTGGATATGTGCGTGGGTTGGCAAGTCTTTTTTTTTTTTAGTTGTTGTTGATTTTTCCGTTTTAGTCATTAACTCTAGATTTTTCTTCTTATTAATTCCCCCATTCTTCGCAGAAATAGAGCAACGTGCGTGATGATGTGCGTCCGGGTATATAGTTACAACACATATATGATGTGTGTCTATATTCCCTTGCGGGTGGAAGGGGTTTTTTATGTAAAGAAGCCACTCCGGGCTGGTGTAAAAAGTAAAAGAAAGAAGAAGAAATGGGCAGAAACAAAGACGTCGTGGCGGTCAATGCCTCCACCGTGCGCCACAGGAGATGCGGTCAAACTCACTCATATTTTGACCAAGAGGCTGTTTTTGTTTGTTTGTATAGCGAATAGTGCCAAATACGAAGTTTTTTTTTGTTCTCTCTACCCTTCTTACTTTATTGGGGAAGGTGGAGTAAGAGGGTGGGAGGCGGTCTGATCTGGGGATGTGTTTTCCTGACCCTCTCCAGTGCCTCGTCTTTGTGCCCGTTATATCGATGTTATCATTATCACCGGTCGCACCGTCTATGTATTATTACTATTTGTTGCGTCGTCTCCTCGTTGTCCCTCTTTTTTTTTTTTTGTTGTGTGTGTATGTGTGTGTTTTGTTGTACTTATCAATTCCCTCGTCCTCTCACCCTTTGGACTCCATCCTCCCCGCCCCCCTCTCTCGCGTGCGTGTGTGAATGCGTGGTGGCTGGCCACAGCAAGAGGGGCTGTGCGCGCGGCTGTGGGGCAGGCTTCCGACGTCAGAAGTGGTGTTCCGCAGCCCCGCGCATCGGGGACAGCCCCTCAGTCTGCGGCAGGCGCGCACACACACACACCGACGCGCGCTGCATGCACGCGCTCTGTGGCCGCGGCTGCAGGAAGGAGGAATCAGAGTGGGCTAGGAGCGGTGCAGTAGCAGGAAGAGAGATTGCGAAGAGGCGAAGCGCCTACGCACACCCTGCAGGGAGGCAGAGATGCGACGTGAGTTGCGCCCTCGTGAACAAGCGACGGACGGTGCACGCACGCAGCATTACAGCAGTGAAAAAAAAAAAAACGCACACAAATTGAAACAAAAATAAAAACAAAACAAAGTTACCATGCATGATTCATGAGGAACAAAAGCAAAAAATCACTGTGATGCAAAATTATAGTTACTGCCTTGCCTTTCCCATGCTCCTCTCTTACACTGACACCGGCGTAAATACGTTGATGTCTCATTTCATTTCCATTCACATCTTCAGGTACCCCCCCACCACACACACAGAGAGAGAGAGTTGTCTTGTGTCTTTCCCTGGTGTCTGCAGCTTCTCGCTTCTCGCATCGGCTGTGCTTTCCTGCACTCCGTCACCCTAACACCCCCCACCCCCCTGCGTTGCATTTTTTTTTTTCCTTCTTTCTTCTCTCCTTTTTATATTTATTTACTGACAGTCACGCACAAAAATTTCTTCTCACTCCCTTGATATATATATATATAAAGGAAAAGGGAAGAGGGAGGAGGAGGGGGGAAGGTTCACCAACAGGACCACAACAAAACACAAAAGTAAGAAAAAAAAAACTTTACTTTTTTATTTATTGCGTTTGTGTGTGAGTGCGCTTTACAAACTCCCGGGTCTCTCGCGCGTCGCCGCACACTCGGGGAGGAAAACAGTAAATATATATATATATATCACTCCTAAGGACAAAGCAGCGGCATTCAACGAGGAGGAAAACAACAACAAAGACGGGCAACGGAAAGGAGTACAGGAAACGAAAAAAATAAAAACAACAACAACAACCAGGACAACAAAAAAAAAAGATTCAGTGCACATAGTTATTTCAACGTATATTTCCTATTGTTGTCTTGGAGAACATCAAAATGAGTCTTCGCACCTTTAAGGAGGTTGCCGACAGCGACAAGGTGTTTAGGGACACCGCTTTTATGGACAAAAACAAGCACATCTCTAACAAATGGATTCGGATTGCCGAACTGTACCCCGACGGCATCCGCGAGCCTCTTCTTCCACGGGCATTATCCCGTGAGCAGTTTGGGCAGGGCAATCACTATGAATGCTTTATGCTTACCACCCTGTCCACCCTGGTGCGTTTCCCCAGCGTCATCCAGAACTGTTTTGTCTCCAATCACGTTCGACGGGATGGGCGTTACACGTTCAAGTTTTTTCGCGGCAAGGAGTGGGAAAAGGTGGAGATTGATGACTGCATCCCCCTCGAGAATGACGGAGAGCTTTACATTCGTTCGCCCACCCGACACTGGTGGCCCCTGCTCCTGGAAAAGGCATACGCGAAATTCTACACCAGCTACGATAATCTTGAGGGCTGCACCCTGCAGGAGGCGTACTACGACCTGACTGGCAACCCCGTGCTCAACATTCCCATTGACGCGGAGCTTGCTAAGGCCGCTGGGGCTGACGTAATGGAGGGCCACTACTGGCTGGACCTGGCGCAGAAGATCCAGTCTGGACAGTTTGTGGCCTCTGTATTGACGAGGGATAAGGAGGGTGAGAATATGGGCATTCAGAGCGAGCAGCACTACGGTGTCCTTGAGATCTTTTCGATGACAGGCACGTCGTCAGTGAAGGACATTGTCATCCACCTACACAACCCCTTTGAGGATGAGGAGTTCCGCTATACCGGCCCCTTGAACAGCAAGGACTCACGGTGGACGTCCAAGCTACGTGCCAGGTACAAAGTGGATGACGAACGCTCCATCTTTCTCCCACTCAACAACTTCCTGAAGATTATGAATTCCATGCAGCTGTGTTATATTTCCACAATAGAT